CATGAGAATTAATTGTTGAGCTACTGGTCTCTTCTGAATGAGTGATAATAATGAGAGATGCCTGCTTGGACTTTGTGATGTGACTTTGCTGAAGATACCTCCATCACTTGCCCCCCAAACATCTTATGTCTCTTTTCCTCCCAGAAAAAGTTTTCGTAAGTTTGCTTTTGTCACAACTTAGCAACATTAGATGATTAGACATAGCTTAGAGGCATTAGCAACTGTTAATTACTTGATCTTTCTAAGCCTTTACCTCTACTCTTTTTGCCATGATATGAGGAGGTTATACCACCTTCCAATAGATGGATAATTCTTGTTAATTTAACTTTTATGTCTGGAAAAATTTTGAAAATGGTGAAAACTATCTTGCATCTACTATACTTAGTTTGTAATTTACTTAAATTTAAAAGAATTAAGAGAACATATATGTGCAATGAATTATTTGTTGACACCAATCAGTTATCAACTCCAATAATAATTAGATAATAATAGATCGATTATTTTGAAGAAATCTATTTCCTCTTATCTAGTCATTTTGTGTGTTTACACATGTGGAGCTTTTGTACTTTTACTTTTTAGAAATTGTAATAGTAAAGAAAAACATTTGATATCCTCATAGCAACATTTTAAAATCATTACTTAGATGTATTTCATATTATAGTTTATAAAATTAAAATATCTGATGAAAATTTGCTAAGCTCTGAGCTAAACTTTCTCCCTATTTTATCTCCTAACCTGTTATCATCATTTCCATTCTTTCAGATGAGGAATTGAGATGTTAAGCATCTCCCTTTCACTTCACATAGCTAGTAAGTGATAAGGTCAAATTACAGTGTCACCTTTTAATACCCATATTAATGTAATTGTTACTTATATATCACACTAGAAATATGAAATCAAAGAACTGAAAATATCAGGAAGACTTGTTATTTTAAAAATCTCAAAAGATATAATACCAAAAAAATTCAAAAATGAATAGCACTTTCATATGGAGTGAAGGAAGAAAAAACCATGGTATCTCGCAGGATGAAAGGTTGTCTATATTATTTGGACATGAAACCATTTGCAGTTTAAGGAACACCCAGCCCATGTGGAAACATAAGGAACTACAAGCCCTTTCTGGGTTTATGTGAAAAAAAAAAAAAAATGTAGTGGCCATGTTTCTGGTTCATTGTTAAGCTGTCAGGGTGATTTTGATGTGTAGATACTTAAGTTTTTCTTCTAAGTAGTAGAAGTTTAGAGTCATAGAGGCCCGTGTGGAAGTTTAGAGCGGTGGAGGTGCGTGTGGAAGTTTAGAGCGGGGCAGGTGCGTGTGGAAGTTTAGGGCGGTGGAGGTGCGTGTGGAAGTTTGGAGCGGGGGAGGTGCGTGTGGAAGTTTGGAGCGGCGGAGGCGCGTGTGGAAGTTTAGAGCGGTGGAGGCGCGTGTGGAAGTTTAGAGCGGTGGAGGTGCGTGTGGAAGTTTAGGGCGGTGGAGGTGCGTGTGGAAGTTTGGAGCGGCGGAGGTGCGTGTGGAAGTTTGGAGTGGGGGAGGTGCGTGTGGAAGTTTGGAGCGGCGGAGGTGCGTGTGGAAGTTTGGAGCGGTGGAGGTGCGTGTGGAAGTTTGGAGTCGTGGAGGTGCGTGTGGAAGTTTGGAGTCGTGGAGGAACTCACATTGTTCCATTTTGGTGGTGTCGAAATCGTCACGTGAAAGATGATCAGGAATACCCTTGTAGTTGGACAGATTTACTTATAATTTATTGCAAGACCACGAATATATCATGGAGAGCCATGTCCCAGTAAGAGGGTCTCGGAAGGAATTTATTATAGGATATGGGTTTTGGTTGTGTGTGTTTAGGGGAGGGTGCATAGAGTCAGGGACTCATGCTCGATTGGATGCTGTCAGAAAGCAGAGGTAGTTCTGTAATAAGGTAATTCTCGAATTCTCTAATAAGGCATTTCAATAAGTCTTGCTGACAAAATGGAAGACTAGCACAATGATGAATCTGTGATTAGTAAAGAAGTCCATCATATTAGCCAAGAGAGGAAGTGGTTGGTCCTTTATTTTATTTTATTTTTTTGAGATGGAGTTTTGCTCTTGTTGTCCAGGCTGGAGTGCAATGGCATGATCTCAGCTCACTACAACCTCCACCTCCCGGGTTGAAGCAATTCTCCTGCCTCAGCGTCCCAAATAGCTGGGATTACAAGCATGCACCACCGCTCCCGGCTAATTTTGTATTTTTAGAAGAGACAGGGTTTCTCCATATTGGTCAGGCTGGTCTCAAACTCCTGACCTCAGGTGATCTGCCTGCCTTGGCCTCCCAAAGTGCTGGGATAAAGGCGGCGGGGGGCGCCGTGCCTAGACGCTTGGTACTTTTTGAATGGCACAGTAACCTTGTTTTCTGTGCTTAGACAAAACTATGAAGTGGCCTTACTTGGTTTATTCTTTCAATGTCTCAGGGTAGTCTTGTGTGAGGTTGGCATTCTGTGAGAATGTTTAAGTGTAACAGGAGAATGAGTGTCAGGCTGGCTTCTAAAGGGCAAGGGCTGCTTGTTTTTTCATTCTTCATAGCTACCCCCGACCTCCTCTCTAGGAAAACTGTAGTGACTACTAAGCTTTAATAACATATTTCCAAGTTTTTGTTACAAAATATTTTCATCATACAGAAAAAAGTAAAGATAATGCATTAAGTACCATATATCTATCAAGCAGCTTAAGAAATAAATAATGATAGATAAAAGTATTTGAGTATTTCTCTGAAATCCTAATCCTTCCTAAGAGCAAATTATTCACTTGAATGTTGATGTTTATCATTTTCAAGAATAATGCATTTCTTTTTCTTTAAAAAATACATATATATTTACTTTTTGTCTCCTTCCTTTCTAGAAATTTAATAAGATATACCTTTATTTTTATTTTGTTTTAATTGGCATAAAATAATTATACAATTATACATATTTATGGGAGGTACATAGTGATCTTTTGATACATAAAATGTATAGTGATCAGAGAGGGGGATTAGTGTGTCTATCATCTTAAACATTTATCATTTCTTTGTGTTGGGAACATTCAGTAACCTCTTTCTAGCATTTTGAAACTATGTAATATATTATCGTTAACTATAATCATCCTACAGTGGTGTAGAACACTAGAACTTATTCCTCCTATTAGCTGTAATTTTGTATCCTTTAACAAATCTCCTTACCACAGACCCCTTACTTTCCTCTATCCTTCCCAGCCTCTAGTATCCTCTGTTCTGCTTTCGACTTCCAAGAGATCCTTTTTTCAGCTTCCATATATGAATGAGAACGTGCAATGTTTATCTTTCTGTTCTTGGCTATGCCACTTAACATAATGTCCTCCAGTTTCATCCATGTTGCATTGAATGACGGGCTAGCGTCCTTTTTAAGGCTAGATACTGTTCCATTGTGTACTTATGCCACGTTTTCTTTATCTGTTCATTTGTTTTTGGACACCTAGACTGATTCCATATCTTGGCTATTGTGCATAGTGTTCCAGTAAACATGGGGTGCAATTGTCTCTTTGATGTACTGATTTCCTGCTCTTCAGATAAATGCCCAGGAGTGGGTGGCTGGATGCTATTTGTAGTCTTTTGAGGAACCTCCATACTATTCTCCATAGATACTATCATAGTTTACATTCCCACTGACAGTATATGAGTTTCCTTTTCCCTGGATCCTCCCCAGCATTTGTTATTTTTTATCTTTCCGATACCAACCATCCTAACTGGGGTGAGATGATACCTCATAGTGGTTTTGATTTACATTTTCCTATTTCCCTGATGATTAGTCACGTTGAGCTTTTTTTTTTTTGTCTTCCTTATAATTGTTGGGCATTTGTGTGTCTTTTAATTAGGAACTCAAACACCTAACAGCAAAAAAAAGAAAAAAAAAGATGCTTCAGAACAGCAAAAGACCTAACGTTATACATCCTTGTAAACTTTTTTTTTTAATTCTACTATTGTTTGAAGTAGGAGCTTAAGCATGAAACTACACGAAGAATCATGAGACACCCTATGCTTCACACAAGGTCATAGGACATACTTTTATAAGTACCATTAAACATTATAAATGAATTTTAATCACAGAGTCAAGTACTTTATTCATTTGTTTTCAGTGTCCTACAGTGACTTTAATAGCAGGAGCAATTTGTTGGCTTTATTTAGCAAGACATTGGGTGGATTTCCATTCTTCCCTCCACAGGCTGTGAGAAAGATTTTTGACACTCACTGAGCTGCTTCAATTGGAAATTCACATTTTATGCAATAACAGACCATTTTAATTTCATGAAGCAAAGGATTGGCTTCTACTTGCAAATAGCACTAAAGAAAGCAATATTGTCGAAGTAGATAGATCTGTCGAATTAAATACAAGGCTTTCATTCCTTTTCTTCTACATTTCTGTATAATGTAAGCATTAATTAAACCCATCAGTGACTTCCTTCTTTCTGGAGAATGTTTTCTCTCTGACAAGAAATGTCAACTTAGCAAATGAGACCTACCATTAAAAACACACTCACCTGGACTTAGAGAAAAGCTGGTGCATACCCAGGGACAGACTTGCGGAAAGAGAACCCAAGGGACAGTTCCCATCTTTTCTTGCTTTTGGTGATGGGACTAAGTGTCTTTTGCCTTACTTGAGGTTTCCCAAGACAAGCATGCATAGCTGTATTACATCTTGTGTCATTGTATCACCTGATATTTACTTGAGGCATTACAAATACAAGCCAGGAAAAAATGCCATGGTATTTTGAAGTTTTTAATGCACCTTCACTTACATGATGAGGAACAGAGACTAAATATCAGGTTCAACTTAAATCCACCACGTGTTTGGAATGTTAGATACACTGATGTGCTGTGGCCCAGATAGAGTTCATGGTGACAGCTGGAGAAGTAGATGGAACAAGCACCCTAAGATTTGAACAAAGTGTTAGAGAAGTGAAATCTCTAACATCTACCAAAAGTCCTTAGAATGCAATAGTGACATTTAACTTCTCTTTGCAGGGGAACACTTAAGAATCTGTCCTCAGGAATATACATGCTGCACCACAGAAATGGAAGATAAGTTAAGCCAACAGAGCAAACTCGAGTTTGAAAACCTGGTGGAAGAGACAAGCCATTTTGTGCGCACCACGTTTGTGTCCAGGCATAAGAAATTTGACGGTAGGTGAAATGGTTTTCACTTGACTTTGCTATAGGTACACTTTTCTGTGAGAATCTTGGTATCATATGAAAAATATTTTTTACAAAGGGAGCTTTTCTATCCTTCTTAAATATTTATAGCATTGTCTATTTTTAGAAAAGGCATGAGTTTTCTTGACAGTATTTTTTTTTAAGTCATATCTTGGTAAAACCTGGTTTAACAAAGAGCTGTTTTGCATTTGTGCTTTGCCTGTGAGATTATTGTAAAGATTTAGCTCAAGTTTTCATTAAAGGAGTTATAATTCAGCTTTTGTTATACTGCAGCTTGTCTAGTTTTCTTATGGGGATTCTCCCTTAAAAATAAGTGTAACTTAAGATTATTTGAAATATAACATCATATTTGAAGAGGAAAGGCTTGTTTTAAATGTCAGCGACACAGATTCCTTTATTTTAGACTTTGCCATTGCAATCATATAGCACATTTTACATTGCAGTAGTGCATTCTATCTAAGGTTTAGACCCTCTTCTCATATCCTGGTTATAAGCAGTCAATGCTATTTCTATATTTTATTTGTTAAATAAACATTTTTATATTACAAATTATTACTGAAATTTCAGCATTGAATTTTCTCATTAGAACATGAATATTTTGAAAATATTCAAAGGTAGTTTGATTCTTTATAAACAGTATCAACAATGATAACAATACATTTAGTACTTTTAGATGGTGTGTTGTCTTTAGTGCTTTAAGAAATGAATGTACCTTACTATGATTTCTTGTAAACCAGACTTGCACCTTGTGGTGAACCTTCTTTGGGCTCCGTTGGTCCTACAACATTACTCTAGAGCAAAAGAGCTGCTATTAATTTTCTTCTCTCAGTTCAGTCAATGCACAGCAGAGCCAGTTTAGGAAAGGTTGGCCAAAGTTTTTATGTTTCTTTTTTCTTTACTGTGTGGTAGGTAAAATGTTCCATTTTATTGCTGTTTTAAACTATTATAGCAGCACCGATCTTTTTCAAATCGGTTCTCAAGTTTACAGAAGACAGGTCTACCTGGTATTTTCAGTACAAATGATGTGACACTTTCTGTGTAAGTGACTGGGGTTTCATCTTTCTGCAAGTATGTTTTAACATCTTCACATTCTATCTTTGGCTCTCCCTTGTGTATAATTTTATATGTGGATGTATGTGAAAATAATTTTTTATTTAGTGGTGATGCTGTGAATGTTGTTCCCTTAAATGCAACTAGGGAGTACTTAGGGGTTGCTCTTGATTACAGGTTACAAAACCAGTGACATTAGGAGCCCCAGATAGGACTCTGTGTTTGGAGGACTATACTCTATCACTTCAAGCTACGGCAAATTGAACTGTTTTGTCATTTGTTACATGAAGTAGGTGGTAATGATCTGTTGCCACTGATTTTGACCTGTGTCCCTGGGAAACTAATAGACAAACAAAAAACAAAAACTCTAGTGCATTTATAAAGCTGTACTCCAAAGTGATGTTAAAATAATTCCAGGACACTATTCATGGTAGATAATATATATATTCTTTAACAACAACAACAACAACAACAAAATAAATATTAGGTAGCTTTATGGAGAGCTGACATTTTTAAAACAAGTAAAGCCATTCAACAAGACTGAGCCAGCCAGGCGTGGTGGCTCATGCCTGTAATCCCAGCACTTTGGGAGGCTGAGGTAGGTGGATCATGAGGTCAAGAGATCGAGGCCATCCTGGCCAACATGGTGAAACCCTATCTCTACTAAAAATACACACACACACACACACACACACACACACACAAAATTAGCTGGGCGTGGTGCCAGGCACCTGTAGTCCCAGCTACTGGGGAGGCTGAAGCAGGAGAATCACTTGAACCTGGGAGACGGAGGTTGCAGTGAGTCAAGATTGTGTCACTACACTCCAGCCTGGCAGCAGAGTGAGCCTCCATCTCAAAGCAAACAAAACAAATCAAAAACAAAACAAAAACAAAACAAACAAAACAAGACTGAGCCTTATACTTCTTGTATTATATCGATAACTTTTAATATCTTTGCATTTCTAGTTTCTAATCCCACATCTGGTTTGTCCTATTAAAGAAACCTCTCTCCACTTTCTCACTTACTCCCTCCCTGTCTCTATATAGGTATATTTTGAATTGTTCTAATGTATCTAAGGGTATGATGTCAATCAGTTTGACAGGATATTGATTTTGCTAAGATTAGATCTGACCTAATCTGACCTAAGAGAAGGATGAATTCTTTAGCAACCACTCATTTTATTGCAGTTGCATTGGGTAGGATGGGAGAGAAATTAAGATTTTTTTTTTGGAGGCTTTCAGCCAGAGTGAAAAAAAAAAAAAAAAGAGAGAATCTAAATGTGATTCTAATAATCTCAACTCCTGAAGCACTTTGACTTAAGATAATAATAATAATCGTCATCATCAATTAAAAAGTCACTGTCACATTTTCTGTTATTTTCTCTGGGCAGATTCATGAGGGTCAGTTATACACTGCTATGATTTATTTTCTTATATCTCAAAGGTGAGTCTGCTAAGTCACCTTCCTTGAATGATTGTGCATTCATGTGGGTAGTTTTCTATTTTTTCCTTTTTTTTTCCCCCAAGTACTCTCTCATGTCACTTATTGATGAATGTCAATTTGACGTGAGCACAAAACTATCTAGTTTCAGTTATAGAATATCACTTTCTTTGAGTTTTATTTTCCCACATAAACCAACAGTACTATGAAGGACTTAGAGTTTATTTTAGTAAATTCCTATTATGTTAGTCATTTTGCATCATTGCTGGAGTCTCTTCATCCATCTTGTCTATTTTGAGGTTCTGCCTCTGTTTCCACTTTCTCAGAAGTCTTAATTTGTCTTTTGGATTGTGTATAGCTTTGTTGGCTATATGCTCTTTATGAAAAACCACTCCTTAATTAAAATTAAGAAAGTTTGATGAGTTTTCTATTTTTATTAAGTATAGCAGCAATTTAAATTCCGTACATGTGATCCAGTCCAGTATATATTTAGAGAGGCTAAAGTCAATTGCTGGTAATGATTAATCTCTGGTTATCACTTTTCTTACTGTATGAGAAATGCTTTGATTCCATTTAACTTTTTATTTTGTGGCAGAGGTGACTGTTTTTAAAATTTGAGATTCCAATACTGTTAACTTAAAGCCATATTCTATTTATTGTCTTACTTTCCCTGTCTTTTTTAAAGTGATATTTTGGTAACATTTAGAAGAGACACTATAATTTTATAATTTTATAAATTATAAATACTCATCAGATGGTAGGAAGTTAAAGTGGAATCAACTTGAGTTATTACCCAACCTTCGTAAGTTTCTGTGCTTAGCTCCAAGATTAGCCTAGCATTCATACCTGAGAGGCAACGAATTTTAAAAGCATATACTATCAATTCCAGAAATTTTAATTCTTTGGCAGAGAATTTTCCTATAGCTGTATACCTTTTTAAAATTTTTGAATGTAGAATTAAAATGTCATGATAAAAGTCTATATAATAGAGTTTTCTTGACATTGCTTCTCCAAGGGTCTAACAAGGTATTTGTTGCTTTACCTTTTTCTTATTTCTCCAACCAAATCTCAATTTCTGGCTCTCACGACACATCCCTGTAAGCCCCTTCATCCTTTGGTCTTGGTCCTGGCCACTGCAAAAGTTCTCTCCGAACTATAGAGGGATGCTCTGAATATGCGCTATAGCCAGGCCCCGCTTTTCTGTTGCTCCCCAGGATTAAAATTTTGGACAATGACCCAGCTTAGTATATCAGACAGAATGATCACATTACTCCCTTCCTTCTCACCTTCTTCTCCTCTGCCAAACACCCCAGGCAACAGATAAACACCAGCATATTAAAACGTAGACAAAAGGAGAGTCATCTTTGTGTACTCACTCATTTTTAGCATTTTCATATTCAGTGACTAGCCTGTCAAATTGGCATTCCTGTCTAAGTCCTGTTTTGCTGTTGTGCTACCAAGTAGCTCATGTGTAATAGGAAATGGAGAACAAGCAAGTAGCAGATAGTAGTAATAGTAACTATTACCTAGTAGTAATAGTAATAAGAGGCAACATCTGACCCTGTGTCCTGTCGTTCATAGATTTTAACCCTAGGTATCTGAGGCACACTGAATTGCAATCACGCAGATATTATAATAAATGGCAGAGTCAGGATTCCATTCCAGGCTGAGCACTCCTGGATCTCTGCTCTCAGCCATCTACCACATCATCTCTCCAGTGCTTTCCAGTTCCCAGATGTGCTGGCGTCTTGTGGTTAACACCACCTATTCCTCTATCTCACCCTGCCGGGCCTGTCCTGTCCTAGTTATTGTGGGGAGGATGTGGAAATGACTGTCAAGGAAAAGTGGAAGATTTGTTTTTAACTCTAAAAAAAAAAAAAAAACTACCCACCTAAATATAGTCCAGCCCTCAAGGAATCTGGAGGTTTGACAGGGTAAAAGACTTGCCAAGTTTCCACTAAGAATGATGAATCCAAGACTGTAACCTAATACTTAAATCAGAATTAGAAATAGTCATGTTATATATAGGAAGTCAATACTTGGTTGAAATTCTAAATTTTTATTTCTTTTGAATGGATACTGTTGAAAAATTATCGGTATTTCTTTAAAAGGGCAGTAGAAATATTGGTGGGTAAAGAGTCTACCCATATCTTTGGGAAAGGCAGGAACAGTATTCAACTGGAATTTGTCCCTAAATTAAAGAGGAATGGGTGTTTTTTTGGTAAAAGCCTTTATTGAATCAATGAAGATATATTGTTATTATTATTTTTTTTTACCTCACAAAGCCTAGTGGTTTCTATCTTGATGTCGGCACTAACACCCTATCCTCTAAGCATGTCTGTGGAATGTGGATTATTCAGAGGCAGAAAGATTTAGTTGAAGGGATATTTTATTTAGGTTCCTTTTTTCCTTTGAATTTATTTGAGCTGAAATGTATTCACATTTGGAGCTCCATATGAACTTTTTTATTTAATGTGTT